TTTTTTTTTTTTTTTTTTCTTTTTTAACTTTTGTGATGCTGGAGTTAAACCCATGCAGGATTGGCAAGCAAGCATTCTACCACTGAGCTACTTCTGGATCCCTAAAGCTTTTTTTTTTTTTTGTGTGTGTGTGTGTGTGTGTGTGTGGTACTGGGGATTGAACTCAGGACCATGAGCTTCCCAGGCAAGCAGGTGCTTATGCTACTGAGCTAACTCCCCGGCCCCCCTGAAGCTGTTAAGGGGTGTTTTGTTTGGTAGTCAGAACAGAACTCTGAAAATACATGTAAGTATAAAACAGCAAATGAAGGTCTAGTTTTTCCTTCCCACGTCTGTTTATATAACTGGAATCTAGTACTACTCATAGGTATTTGTCCTTTGTATGTTCCTATACACAGCAACATTTCACTAGCCTCCAGCTATTAATCAGAATATCTCAGAAGTGGTCTCATATAGTTCTTGTGAATGCATTTGTAACACATCTGTGTTCGGTTCTGATTATTTCGTGCAGTGGGTTCTTAGAAGAATGACTTAGCCAAAAAGTACATACTTCTAAAGATCTTGGTGAATATTTCCAAGAAAATTTATACCAATTTCTTATGTAAGAGAGTGATCATTTCCTAGACTTTGGCGTGGAACATGGTTTGGGTCATTGTTTCTTGTTTTTAACTTGTAAGTCTTTGACAGAATAGTACCCACCTGCATCCCCACTACCTGAGGGCTGAGGGCTGGACTGCTGCAGGCCAGAGTCCAGGCCAGGCCGGCCCCACGACTAGACGTCGCCTCAAAGCAGACCTTGCAAAATAAAGCTGATTTTTCATTTATGTGTTTGCATTTCAGGCAGTTCTGCCTTGAGCTAAATGGACTTGCTGTTAAACTTCAGGTAATACTTTGTCTAAGTTACAGCTATGATTGAAGTGATAGTTTTGTCCATTTTGGGAAGTTGCTGTGTTTCTAGAGACTTAGTCATTATCTGATCATTTCCTTCTCGTAATTTATAGGAAATGTAGTAATCCTTCTGATAAGTGTCTTCATTGTTATTTTTCACACTAAGAAATGCAATTGTTGCTAACAGAGTGAATGCCATCCAGATACCTGTACTCAGATGACAGCAACTGAACAATGGATTTTTCTTTGTGCCGCTCATAAAACTCCAAAAGAGGTGAGGATCTGTGAACTGGAACGATGGTTAGAATTGTCATAGCAGTCTCTCTGAGACACTGGTAAACATGTTGTAGAGTTTGTTTTTATTTATTTGTTTTTCTTTTTTGAGAGAGGGTCTCACTATGTAGCTCAGTTTGACCCTGAAGTCACAGAGCCCCTCCTGCTGCAGCCTCCTGAGTGGTGGTAATACAGGTGTGCACCACTAGACCCAGCATGTTTCCAAAATTCAGAAAGTTTACTTTTGTTCTTTGTTTTTTGGTGGAACCGGGGATCGAACTCCGATCCTTGCACTTTCCAGGGAAGTGCTTATTCCACTGAGCCATCTCCCCGGCCCCCCACTGAGCCATCTCCCCGGCCCAGCATGTTTC